TACGCACACACTCTCTCTCTCTCTCTCTTACACACACACTCACTCTCTCTCTTACACACACACTCTCTCTCTCTCTTTCACCCCACTGTTGGAAGTCACCAATATTAAATCATAAGTTTGTTAATAATAAAACTGCTTACCTTTTTTTTTTTTACTTTTTTTTTTCTCTGTTTGCTGGCACTCTTACTCCTTATCGAATGGCACAGGAATTAGGTTAGGATTGCTGGAAAAACAAAAAAAATAATAATTGAGACTTGTAACCATATCCTGAATGACTGATATAAGCAATGTACAACAAGTCAGTACCTTGCTCGCTTACTCCATTCCAGCACTCATTTCAAAGACAACAATGCTGCAATGCCACTCACTTCCCATCACCGCCACCACGGCCTCTTCCTCTGCCACCACTACCTCCGCCTCCTCTTCCTCTCCCGCCGCCACCTCTTCCTCTCCCGCCACCTCCTCGTCCCCGTGATCTGCCCACCTCTCCCACCAAAGCCTCTCCCTCCTCTCCGACCAAAGAAGCCTCCATCTTCACCATCTCCGTCACTATTGCTACCATCATCATCGCCACCTTTCTTCCCAAATCCTCCTCTGCCACGGCCTCTGCCTCTGCCTCTGCCTCTGCCTCTCCCCATCTCCCTGCGGGGGGTCAATCCCATCATATCCGGAGGAGGCTTATAATCCGGAGAAAGGTAGTCTGGCTTGAGGAGAGAAGCTGGCTTTTCTGGCTTTTCGGTAGATTCATCATCATCATCATCTGGGGGGGGGAACAAAAGCTGGTTAGATATGATATACATCAAATGCAGTATATGAATATAGGCAAAAAGATAAATTAATTAGTTATCATGAGTTTAAAATTTACCTGGTTTGGTTGGAGTAGTCCTCGGCCATTCCACATGAATTGAATTTGGGATGCTGGAGCAAAAGAAGAGATTATAAATTAACATGAAAACCAAAATTTAAAAAGGTGATAATTTGTTTACAGCCTCATTTTGTGCTTGAAACTGCCCTCAAACAATTCATTACAGCATTGGGCTCACAGACCTCTTAGCAGTCTTCCAGTTGTTAGCCACAGAAAAAAAAAAAAAAAAAAAAAAAAAAAAAAAAAAAAAGTCCATTAGAAGAGTTTAGCACAGGGGAATACTTGGAATAAATGTCCGTTTATCTAAAACTCATTTAGAAGATATTCGAGTTGAATTGAAAATTATGATCATACCGAATAAGAGCTACACTAACATCATCGTTAAACCCTTACAATCCTGATGGCTTAATCATCATGCCAAGTAAAATTTTGGCTGGAGGGGCGGGTGACATGAACATGATATCATATGAATTTCTGCTGAAGGCTGGAGTGCACAATGTTCTTAAAGGGTGATGACTCCGTGGGCATTTAGAAAGGGGCTTTTACATTATTTCTATCAATAAATGAGTATGGAATGTTACATTCATGAGTCTTGACTGGAAGAGCTCCAGCTCCAGGGAGGACACTATTTCCATGCTCAGGATCCTATTCCAGCCTGGTTGCATTACAGAAAATAGTGTTATAATTTCTTTCATTTTATGAAACATAATAGTCTTATTGTTATCATTGCAGTGCGTTATGGACTACCTTGAGAGATGATATGGAGTCTGAGCAAGGAAAACATTTATTACCATCTGGATAAAGCAAATCAAATAAATATATACTTTGGAAAATGGCAAAAAGCTAAAAATGCTAATACAGAAAAAGCGAAAATATTGCAATGGGGAGGCATGGAGTCTTGTCACCACAAAGAAGAATCCAAGGGTGTCATGGCTACAAGCCACACACCCGGCAGAGTGGCTAGTCAAGTAAGCCTAGAGCCCATATTTTGGGACATGTGATGGAAGTGAAGCATCAGGATCATATGGGTTAATATATGTACTTTAAATAATTCCCTTCCTTATCAAATTCTACTTAGTATCACATACTGGATTCAATTCCAAATAAGACAAACTGAAGCACCAATTCCAAAGCTCATAATCAGTCTTGTGTGTGTGTATATGGTATGTAAAGTACAAGGATAAAGATACATGGTATAACATAATACTAATGCATATCTTATATGCAAAATCTTTCAAATTTCCAGGTGTATACTAAAATCATCTTTCTTACAGATAAAGGTAAATCTCCTTACGTTACATAACTAGGTGTGAAGCCCCCACGGCCACCACCACCACCACGCCTGTCGTAGCCATGCCTGTCACCATAGCCACGCCTGTTACCACCCTCCTGTCACCTCCACGCATTCTGGGAGTGCTGAATCCCCGTCCCCGTCCCCGTCTCATTCCTCTTTCCTCTCGCATCTGAAGAGCAGAAAAATGACACTTACTATAAAGTTCTGAAACATTAAGAGAAAAAATACTAATTGTGATATTGTTTGTTTATCAATTTTTATTTTTTCCCAATGAAAGAAAGAGAAGGCAATACTTAAAAAGTATAACACCAATATGAATTTTGAATAAAGAAATGTTCTCCCTATGTTACCTGTGCCAGTTCCTCTTCAGAAGGCTGTGTGCGCTCAAGCATCCTTTTCTGGAGGTCGGAAAGCTCCAATTTCATGGGGGTCTGTTTTTTGGTTTGGGGGAAAACAAATGGTTAACAAAGCCACAAAAAAGAAAACTATATTACAATAAATATCATCTAAACCTGGAATGTCAAATAGCCACATCCTCTCTCATCTGGGGACAGTCAATAAATTGCATTTTAAAAGATTTGACTGTCCTGTGCTTGCTTGATTTCTTTTTTAATATCCTTAGCATGTTTATCTTTTACATAAAATTTTCCATTGTGTTTTAAACAATTTATAAGTCCTTTCACCTTTTACCAAGACAAGTGCTAACACACACACACATGGATACAAACAATCACCAATACCCACAAACACACCACCTACACCCACCCCCACATACACATACCACCACCTTTACCCACCCACATGCACACAAGAATTACATTTTCTATTTTAGGTCTTCACATAGGCATGAGAGTAGACTAAATCCGCATTTAGATTTATATGACTGCAAACTATTTTTTGCTAAGTTTCATGGCTTGCAAGTTGTGCACTGAACCTGAGGATGTTACTTGACTCGGTTTATTTCTTTGCTTTGCTGCTGATTCTCTTGTCCGAGAACTTTTGTTGAACATTAAGTGGACTAAATACATACTCCTAAATGATGTATTGAATGAATGAGTTTGACACCCATAATCTCAAGTCTTGATAAGAACTGCTTATCTTCTCACTTGATTGTCTAATGGTAAATACTCAACAGCAGTGTATCTCCATATTAGGAATAGTCACAAGGTTTCATTCATATAAAGTAGAAGCAATATGTGTTTCATGTATCTAACATTTCTAAAAATCTTAAAATGGGAACAAAGGGAACCAGCCCCGCATGCCGATTTTGCCGTCACCCGGAAACTTTTATTTTCGGCTTCAAAATATACTGGCGTTAGTGGGTTAATTGTTTTACTTCCAAAAACCATTCTTTAACAAGTTTCTAATCATCTATGATTATAAAGCAATTTGTACAAAAGACCAGATTTTTCTTTTTCTTTCTCTTTTTGAGTCAAAGGTTCATTGATCATTTTGCATTTCTTCATTCACTGACATTCAATTTCATATATACTTAAGGGTAAGCTAATACCCCATAAGGTAAAGGGATAAGATAACACATTAAACAAAAGACTTATATCTTTACAACTATTTTTTTTAAACCTATTTCTCCTCAGCACTATATATCTATTTCCCCTTTAAACTGGGACTTTCTCACCTCATTCTCTTCAGGCTGTACTTTCACTGGTTTGACATCCCCATTAACTACAGCTTTTTGCTTTTTTTTCTTGGGGGATGCAATCTCTGTCTGAAATAAATAATAACTTTCATTATTTCTAGCTCTCCTTTGAACTTGTGCCGCAGGCTATACTAGTTGCTTGAGGTACAGCCTCAAAAGAGAAGAAGAAGAAGAAGAAGAAAAAAAAAAAGGTCAATAAACAAATAAATGCTGCTAAAAAAAATAATAACAATAAAGAAGAAGAAGAAGAAGAAGAAGAAAAAAAAAAAAGGCATGAGAGTAGACTAAATCTGCATTTAGATTTATAAGACTGCAAACTGTTTTTTGCTAAGTTTCATGGCTTGCAAGTTGTGCATTGAACCTGAGGATTAGTTACTTGACTCTGTTGATTTCTTTGCTTCTGAGAACTTTTGTTGAACATTAAGTGGACTAAATACATACTCCTAAATGATGTATTGAATGAATGAATTTGACACCCATAATCTCAAGTCTTGATAAGAACTGCTTATCCTCTCACTTGATTGTCTAATGGTAAATACTCAACAGCAGTGTATCTCCATATTAGGAATAGTCAGAAGGTTTCATTCATATAAAAGTAGAAGCAATATGTGTTTTCATGTATCTAACATTTCTAAAATCTTAAAAATGGGAACAAAGGGGAACCAGCCCCGCATGCCGATTTTGCCGTCACCCGGAAACTTTTATTTTCGGCTTCAAAATATACCGGCGTTAGTGGGGTCAATTGTTTTACTTCCAAAAACCATTCTTCAACAAGTTTCTAATTATCTATGATTCTAAAGCAATTTGTACAAAAGACCAGATTTTTTGTTTTCTTTCTCTTTTTGAGTCAAAGGTTCATTGATCATTTTGCATTTCTTCATTCACTGATCTGCATTCAAATTTCATAATATACTTAAGGGTAAGCTAATACCCATAAGGTAAAGGGATAAATAAACACATTAAACAAAAGACTTATATCTTTACAACTATTTTTTTAAACCTTTTCTCCTCAGCACTATATATCTATTTCCCCTTTAAACTGGGACTTTCTCATCTTCTCTTCAGGCTGTACTTTCACTGGTTGACATCCCCATTAACTACAGCTTTTTGCTTTTTTGTTTCTTGGGGGATGCAATCTCTGTCTGAAATAAATAATAACTTTCATTATTTCTAGCTCTCCTTTGAACTTGTGCCGCAGGCTATACTAGTTGCTTGATGGTACAGCCTAAAAGAAGAGAGAAGAAGAAGAAGAAGAAGAAGAAGAAGAAAAGAAGAAGAAAGAAAGGGTCAATAAACAAATAAATGCTGCTAAAAAAATAATAACAATAAAAGAAGAAAAGAAGAAGAAAAAAAAAGGCATGAGAATAGACTAAATCTGCATTTAGATTTATAAGACTGCAAACTGTTTTTGCTAAGTTTCATGGCTTGCAAGTTTGTGCATTGAACCTGAGGATTAGTTACTTGACTCTGTTGATTTCTTTGCTTCCGAGAACTTTTGTGAACATTAAGTGGACTAAATACATACTCCTAAATGATGTATTGAATGAATGAATTTGACACCCATAATCTCAAGTCTTGATAAGAACTGCTTATCCTCTCACTTGATTGTCTAATGGTAAAACTCAACAGCAGTGTATCTCCATATTAGAATAGTCACAAGGTTTCATTCATATAAAGTAGAAGCAATATGTGTTTTCATGTATCTAACATTTCTAAAAATCTTAAAAATGGGAACAAAGGGGAACCAGCCCCGCATGCGATTTTGCCGTCACCCGGAAACTTTTATTTTCGGCTTCAAAATATACCGGCGTTAGTGGGTAATTGTTTTACTTCCAAAACCATTCTTCAACAAGTTTCTAATATCTATGATTCTAAAGCAATTGTACAAAAGACCAGATTTTTTGTTTCTTTCTCTTTTTGAGTCAAAGGTTCATTTATCATTTTGCATTTCTTCATTCACTGATCTGCATTCAATTTCATATATACTTAAGGGTAAGCTAATACCCCATAAGGTAAGGGATAAGATAACACATTAAACAAAAGACTTATATCTTTTACAACTATTTTTTTTTTAAACCTATTTCTCCTCAAAACTTATGCACTACATGTATTCAAATAAGTAGATGCACTATATATCTATTTCCGTTTTAAACTGTGACTTTCTCACCTCATTCTCTTCAGGCTGTACTTTCACTGGTTGACATCCCCATTAACTACAGCTTTTTGCTTTTTTTCTTGGGGGATGCAATCTCTGTCTGAAATAAATAATAACTTTCATTATTTCTAGCTCTCTTTGAACTTGTGCCGCAGGCTATACTAGTTGCTTGAGGTACAGCCTCAAGAAAGAAAAAGAAAGAAAAAAAAAAAGGGTCAATAAACAAATAAATGCTGCTAAAAAAATAATAACAATAAAAGAAGAAGAAGAAAAAAAAGAAAATTCAAACTATTGACCCATTTTAAAATTCAACTTTGACAACTTAACTGGTAGTTACTTGGCAATATATGAGAATTTCATGTTCACTGATATCCATTTTCTTTCGGTTAAATGCTGGTATCTTTTCCTTGAGAATATACTACTTCCTTTAGCTCTGGATTTACTCACCTCATTTACTTCAGTCTGTTCTTTCACTGGTTCGAACGACGCCCTTAGCTATGATTCCTTTCTTCTTTTCTTGGCAGCATCTTCTTCCTGAAAGTGATCAAAATTATTTTTTCTTATTTCTTGTACCTTTTGAATTTGTGCACTAGACTGTATTCTGCTCAAGGAGTCACTTATACAGGGAACTACTTCCATCAAAAAAATATAATGATTCACTCACGCTCTTTGTTCTGGCTGCACTTCCTCTGTCTGGACATCACTCTTGGCAAGGATTCCTAGCTTCTTCATTTTTTACCCTTCTTCTTTACCTGAAATAGGTCAAGAATAGTCTAATAAAACAAAAAGAGAGAGAGAAGAAAGGAAAAGCATAACTAGTTTGTTAAGTTGGCAAGAAAAAGAAAAAGAAAAGAAAAGGAAAAACACTTAAGAGTCAAGATGACTACCTGGATTAGAAACTTGTACATAAATCCTGATACGATATATCAGGAGATTCAAATCCACCTTCTGAAATAACATTATATCAAGGTAGCTTCAACTATAACTCAATCATTTCCAAATACCTTAGACTATCTGTTCCAGTTTCCATGGGCTGCTGATCTCTTGTTCGGATATGCATTTGCTGTGTCTTGTTGCTGCTTTTTCTTTTTGGCACCTTTTTTCTTCTGCTGTAGGGGATAAGTTACAATTTTTCAGAACTGCAGATGTAGATGCAGAAGAATCTTTTTCTTGACACATGTAATGAAGTATTAACTATGTAAATTATAGTCTGCTCACACACAGATATGCCTACTGTTGATGTTACCAAAATTTCAAACAAAAGGGCTATTGACCAACATCAAATTTCCACTCCATAATAATCTGATTTATAAACATTTCAGTTTCAGAGCTAGCTAAAGGCATACAATACAGTATCAATTTCTACTTAAAAAAATTCTATTTACATATATACACAAAACTATCCTCTGGCATGTACAGGGCATAGAAACAAGCACTTTCTCATGATTCTCATGAAATTAATCAATCCTACTAAAAAGAAAGAAAAGAAAGAAGAAGAAAAAAAAAAAAATGCTTGGATATTTCCGATTTACTTTTGGAACATTTTCCTCTGTTAACTGGGGCTGCGATCTTCTCCTGGGTGCCAATCTCTACATTCTCTTCCTGCTTTTTCTTCTTGAGGATCTTCTTTGGCTATATTTAGAGTACAAGCAAAATTGTGAATGATAAATTTTTTTTTAGTGATCTCTATAATACAAGTCTATGTGTATCTGTACATGTGTGTGTCTTCTTACCCAGTTTTACAAAAAACAACCTGGTAAGAATGCACCTCATTGTGTGTATAGTACATATGTCTATTATCTACATATATATGTATATCAAATTGTAGATATCTCTCAGATTCCCAACATACAGTTAATTTTCTAAATAACTTTCAAAACATGCTCTTTTGACATAGCCAATACAAAATAGAACACAAACTTTTCTGAATTACTTTTGAAATCTTTTCTCTGTCAACTTGGGCTTTCCTGGATACCGTCAGCATTCCTTCTGCGGCAGCTTCTTCTTTTTCTTCTTTGGCTACGTTAGATTACAATGGTCTATAAGTCTCGACATTTATTACTAATGTGTGTATTATTACTAATGTGATATCATTACAAATATCACATGCAATACACAGGAGTTATTGTATAGATATATACACAATAATTACTGTGTAAATATTACTCCCGCAAGAAAGAATAAGGATAAAATGTGGTAACAACTGCCTTTAATGTCTGAGACGGCCTTCTCAACACAATGTCAATTCTTTAAACCTTTCAAACATTTTATATGAAAAAAGTAAATAACATGGCTAAACACAAATGAACAGAAAATTCTACAATAAAACTATAAACACATTTGCCAAGGCTACGTGTTGTACATAGATGATTCACCAAGTGTTCTGTTACCAAGGAATCTAGTAGGCACTACATGACCTTACCAGATTTTTTTTTGTAAATGCTCTTGGTACTGATATATCCTCATTGACATTATTATCATAATAATCAAAATACTTTTAACAAGAAAAAATATCAGAAAATCCAGAAAAATGGTAAACAAGTGAGGCACGTTAACTGAATCCTTGGTGATTAAGCACTTGCAGAACCTTCAAGTGTAAACACCATTATTAAACTAAAATTACCTTGGACATGGCATGTATTATCATATCATCCTAGCATAATGGATTAAATAAAATGTGACACTATACTAGGCTTCAATAAATGAAAGAGGAGAAAACCATTCAATGATGCACTTAGGACCAACTTAAGACTAAACAAACAGAGGTGCACAGCATGGATATGACGATGAGACTAACTGCATATTTCATAAAATGAACTAAAAGCCTTTATAGACGGTATTTAGTTATCACTCTGGTAGGGGGAACTTGGGGTACCACTCAGCCATAGTACCTGCAACTCTGCTTATGTCCAGATCAAGATGTCTGCCAGTTTCTCTTATATTTTTAATTGACTATATCGATTTATTGAAATATTAGGCTTGATTCTTCTGTCTATATTTAATACAAATACATAGAACGAATCTAAAACTGATAACTTGACCCCAAAAAAGCAGTTGACATTCCAGACATTCTTATAAACAATAGGCAACTAGGGCAAAAATGCATGCTGATCATCTTTACAGACTTGGTAAACAATATCCTGATTAGTATTCAAACTGCTACTCTCATTAACATTATTCAATATTCTGAACATTATCATTATCCTCAATTCAATAGTTATTGAAAACATATGTCATTAAGGTTCCTTTAAGAGTTGAAATAAACCAAGATAGATGTAAAAACCTGCCAGCCCCTCCTGAATGTAAAATCAAAGTAGTCACCTTTGAAAAGGACGTATAGTTTGAAATTCTTCTGGAGTACGACAATGATATTAGTTCAACATTACTGAAAGGACAACATGCATTTGGATAATTTCTAATGTCCTGTAAAGCAATGTATAGACTAGTCTCTAATCTTTATTATTACAAACATATCAATAACAAATATTAAAAAATCTAGCTCTCCATCCTCTCCAAAAACTTTTCCTTTAAATCTAATTGGTAACTGCAAATGCCATGAGCTTAGGAAGTGTTTATCATATTCAAGACTTTCTATAATTCTACAGTATCTATTTATATCTGATGTATAAAAAATATGGAAATAATACATTCAATTTATTCATCTATATTTCTTCACATGAAGTGAAAATATATGACATAGCCTGTGAAGTAAATGATACCACAAATGTTAGTTCTCTCTTCCTCTTTCATGAATACCATTACCTGGTTACCCTTCGACACACCAAAATCTCTATTGAGATGCATGTAATCAGATTATATGCATATGAGTCCCATACTTCAAAAATAAAGAAAAGCACAATGTAAAATATGTATCACACTTTAAGATTCATTTTTTTTTTTTTCCTTTCTGGTGAAACGTTAATATAGAGCAAATAAAAAGTCAAAATATCTTACCAAATTTGGGCTGCTGCCTTCAGACTGTGTGTTCAGCCCAGTCTTCTTTTCTTTCCTGTAGAACCTTCTACAGATTCTGTCAATTTGCGTTTTACAGTCTTCTTAACCATCTGCAAGACAGAACATATTTACATATCTAATGAATCACTGAACATAAAGACAAAAGTAAAGAAAGTTAAAGAAAAAGTTAAAATAGAGGAGCTCAATAATTAATAAGCAATCAAAATTCTTGCTGCAACCAAATTTTGTAAGTTGCTCAAGATGTTTACTCTGTTGTGTCAAGTACTAAAGTGACCACATAAATCATTACTGCAACATGTTAACTAATTCCAGTATTACTTAGCACATGCAAATTTTTTCCTTCACAATTATCAATACCTGTTCTTCCATTTTATGTATTTCATGTATTCTTTTGATGTTAAATTACTTCAAGTTTCTTATATCTACACTGAACTATACAATTACTTACAATAACCTGCCATTGCATTTTCACGACTTGGCCAATATATAGTCAAATGCAGGGCCTCTGTCCCCATGCAACCCCTCCATGGTGGCTGCTACCTCCAACCCCTGCCCTGGACATAGAATCCACCATGTATGTACTTCTGAATATAGTGTAGGACAGATTCAGCACTGGGCACTCCTGCATGTCAGTCAAACAGCTGCCCTGCCATGAATATGTGGAGATTCTTTGTCTTCCATATCAGGGTTGGAGGCAGTAGCTGCAAGGAGGGGGTCATTGGGGAAAAGTCCACTGCATAAGACAATATAGTGACTGATTCCCAGGTATCAGAGCAAATTCCACAAAGTGCTTGTTCGCGGATTTTTTTACTAAAAATATCATCATTATCCATAAATCTTTCTTGTTCCTGTCCTGCTTTGTGTCCTGAACAGGCACAGGTAAAGCTGTGGAAACCCAAGAGACACAAAGTTCTAAAAATAGCAATCTTCACAAATCCAAAGGGGTAGAAAATTCAGCACGAAAATGGCCAAATAAATTCTTTGTGTGGACGGAAAACAAAGTAGAAATTTTTTCATTTACAGTCTGGGAACAGGCCCCTTGCACTAGACAAATTGAATATGAATTTATTGTAGAGGGAAAAAAAGCTACAGTTCGGTACAAGGAATAATCTGCAGACATGAACTGTAACACCACAAATATAGGAAAAAGATCACGGAAAGCACCACTCTCAGCTAAGTCCACTCACTACTCCCAAGCTTCAATTCTGTCTTGCCATGCATACTGAGATTGAAGACAATATTTCCCAGGGTGTTGCCCACCATCAGCCCTCTCCTCGGGCCAGACTGTAGAGTATTTTTCTTGTGCATTGAATATTACATTTATTCATGCGGAAAACACAATATTGTCTACATTTGCAGATGGATCTGTGGACGGATGATGAAACAAGTGTGTGGAAAGGTCAAAAAATTTTATGTGTGAAAGATGATTTAAAAAAGAACAAACATGCGCGTAAAGTTACCCGAGAACTACAATTTGTGCTGACAGATTTTGACCAAATAATTTTTGAGTGGGGAACGTGTTCCCCACGCAGACCAAACTCTACAGTCTGGTCCTCGGCAGTGCCAAAGGGCGCACCCAGTTTCAACAAAGACTGATGAATAATTTTTACATGCGAGTGTAGACAGACCGTATACACTTATCTGCGCATGCCATAATACATTATGTGTCGTCTGCACTGCACTGAGTGGTACCCAAAATATAAAGACCACACGTATACACTGTATATTGCAAGATATTACATTGAAATTCTTACAGATAGCATTATCAACTAACTATATTAATAACGCAATAATCATGGTTGAGTTGCAAGGGCGGATAATTATAAACTATCGGTTTCCAGCGAACTTTTGTAAGCAGTGGACCATCATGGCCTTTTAGAAGAGCAGAGTTAACCTTAACCATGAGTTCCATCATTTCATAATTACTGATTATACAAACAGAACAATTTACCTGATTTGCATGTAATTTACCTTTTATGGATCATTATAATTTTTTCTCATAGTGTTGGTGATTAGATATTAGCAAGAATAAATAAAATAAGCACAGGAGAGGCAATGCCGTTATTTGGAAGATGAATTAAGACACTATTTTATTACGGATATGATGTTATTGTGCGTGAATGAGCATAACTGTACAGGAATAAATCAGTATATAAAATGTTCTCAATTTCTTGCGATATTTGTTTTACCTTGTTACAGGCCTACAGCAATCTATATTTATGCGACACCAGCATAAATATAGATTCATAGTAAAATTACCTGTGGTAACAATCAGGGTTACAGTAAAAAAAGATATGGAATGGTTACCTTGACATAAACTGAGACACTTTTCATCTATGGCAAAAGTTGCGCAAATCGAAAATAAAGGAGTTACATGACAGAGAAGAGAGAAGACCGACCCATCTTTTTCTAAGTCCCTCGCCATGTTGACATCGTGAATGTAAACAAAATTGTGACCAGTCAACTCATTTCTTGCGCTCTGTTACCCCATAGTTTCCCTGATATACTTCACATCCTTCCCCTGCTAATCAGGACTTAATACATCAAGATCACCGGCTGTGATTGCAACGGAAATGATCATCAGATTCATTCTCATCACATGAGAATAAATCAGATGATATAAATATTGTATGGGAAGTCCCAATTGTCATAATCAAAAAATTAACCGATTCACATATACTTCCATACATTCATACATCAATAAAGTTATATGTAACAATTTCAATGTAATATCCTGCAATATACTGTGTATATGCGTGGTCTTTATATTTTGGGTACCACTCAGTGCAGTGCAGACGACATATGATGTATTATGGCACATATGCAGATAAGTGTATACGGTCTGTCTACACTCGCATGTATAAGTTTTGGACGTGGCGTTAGGGACGTTGTCTCTGACGAGTGTGTCCATACTGTAAAATATTAACACTGATTCTGTGTATATAATTCATTGTTTTCCCAGTAATTTCCCTGGTACCTTTCCTGCCCTCACTATCAGGGGCAAGGGTGTCGCCAAAGGGGAGGAGGGTTTCCGCAACACAATTTCAATACATGTCGATAGTAAAGCAAGAGAGGATTTCATTAATACGAAGGTCGTCGCGATCGTTTATGCGAAGGTATTTCCGATATTCTGAATATCCACCCCAACGTGTCCAGCTTCGTCCTGGCCTCCTTAATAAAGTGGTCAACAGAATCACTTGGAAGTTGGTCAGAACTGAACAGAAATACTGTAAATCCGTTGGTATCGACGAAACGGACCTTCCAAGAAAAATTACCCTTTCAAGCGACATTATCCACGTTAAATATTTCGCGTTGTAAGCAAGGCATGATGTATCACAATTTCAACCCCATAGCACCCTCCTCTACGCCTTCCAAACCTTATTTAACACTCTTAACCCAACCCCCACCAGTCTAAAACGCACCAGACGTCTCTTAAACTCAACATACCTTATCCAACATCTTGTCAAAGAAACCGCTGGTCTTGAAAACGAAATAAAGGAATCACCACCACAACCTCGCACCACGCTCGTCCAGCTGGCACTGAGAAAACACGTGTTTTTCGGGTCCTCGCGCACCGCGTGGGGACCTTCGCTAAAACTAGGGTCGCGTTGTGGTCTTGTTTTCTATGATATTATTGTTTTTTTCTAATGCGTTGCTGTTTTTCAGTGTAACTGTGGGTGATTTGTGGGAATTATTTGGTTGGTTGATATGTTTGTCTGTTGTTTTGGAAATACAGTGCGTTGTATGGGATTTGATGGATGTATGTCGCCGTATTGTGATCCGTATTTAGGTCTGAATATATGGAGGGTAATAATTGAGTTATTTCTTAAGGTATTTTCGTACAGCTTTTCTTACAGTTTTTACAGCAATTGATGTTGCACTTACCTTGAAATAATTCAATTATTCAGATACTCATTAGCAGGGCCGCAAGGATGAAAAACGAAATAAACCAAAATAAAGCTCAAATTACAATACAACTACCACATGTTCAACAGTTATTATTTCGTCCACTTTATCTGCATTATCTTTGTTTAGCGGAATACATACACATTATTAACGAAATCATCACTATGAGAACAAACAATACACCCAAATCCTATTACAACTCACCGTTTTATTTCACACAGAGAATACTACTCTGAATTCACAGCAAAACGTAATATCCACTTACTCTGTCTATCTCAGTTCCTTCTTCCTTTGAAATATCAAATTATTTAACACTTAAACCCAGCCAAAGATACAGCGTCTCTTTGCCCAAGGCTATTAATGATGACACTGGCTCTTCTTAGACTTTTGGCTCTCATCTCCCTGCTCGTGGTTGCCACTGGTTGCAAATTTGGTTTTATTTATTTTTTTTTTTATTACTTTCTGGACATTAATTAGATATCTTTTGGGGATGGGTTCTTATGACCTGTGACTAAGTTATAAATTGAATAAAACCTGATAAAGAGATGGTATGGGATGTTATCTAAAAAAATGGTATGGGCCAATGTTATTATCAATGTTATCAATCATATCTTTATTATCATATGATTATTATCATCATTATTATTTATCATTACTCTTAATATTACTATTACTATTGTTATCAGTATTATGGGTATATTATGACATAATAATATAATAATGATAATGATAATAATAATAATAATAATAATAATAATAATAATAATAATAATAATAATAATATAATAATATATAATAATGATAATAATAATAATAATAATAATAATAATAATAATAATAACAATGATAATAATGAAATAATGATAATAATAATAATGATAATAATAATATAAAAAATATAATGATAATAATATAATGATAATAATATAATGAATAATAATATAATATAACAATAATAATAATAATAATAATAATTATTATTATTATTATTATTTATTGTTATTATTTTATTACTATTATTATTATTATCATCATCATATCATCATCATCATCATCATCATCATCATCATCATTATTTTATCATTACTATCATTAGTAGTATAGTGATATAATGAGAGTTAGATTATTGTTATTATTATCATTATTACTAATACTCTATACTACTACTATCATTATTACTATTATTATTACTATTAATGTTATTATTATTATCGTCATTGTTAGTATAATAATAATCATATTAATGATTCTTGCTGCAGTTATTTTGTTATCATTATTATTATTATTATGATTATTATTATTTATCATTGTTATTATTATTACCATTATCATTATTGCCATTAAAATCATTATCACCATTATTATCATTGTTATCATTATTATTACAATCATCATTACTGCTATTATTATTGTTATTATCATTAATATCATTATTACTTTTAGTACTATTATTATATTACTTTCTATTATATATTATTATTTGTTTGTCATCATTATCATCTTAATTATCACTACCATCATTATCATTATTTTTGTTATTTTTGTTGTTATTGTTATCATTGTCATTATTTCTATCATTATCATTATCTTCATCTTCATCATCCCTCTGATTATCATAATTGCTGTCTTATTGTTATTATCATCATCATCATTATCATTATTGCATTATTATTATCATAATCTTTTTTATTATTATTATCATCCTTGTTATTGTAAAAATCACTAATGATATTATTACTGTTCTTAAAATTGTCAGTATCATTATTATCATAATCATTATTGTTATTATCAACATTATCATCATCATTATCATTATTACTATTATAATCATCCTTATCACAATTACTATCAAATTATTATTACCATCATCATCTTCATCCTTTCCATCATTATTATTTATGCAAAGCTTTCACACCCAGAAAGGTTTAGACAGCGAAATAAACCCGCTTGGTTTTATACATTGTCAAATCTATAAAATTTCTTATTAATCTGAGTTTTAGTTTTGTACGGCATAAATAGTGACTATCTGTCCGTTTTTTTACGAAGTTTGCCAAATTGCGAAATTAGTGGTATAATGGCCTTAGATGTCTGGCGTATATGTGTGTTTAACCATGTACCATGTTGCTAAACAATCCTGTTATCTTAATTTTGTTCTGCGGAACATCACGTAAATTGCATTTTTTTTTTTTTTTTTTTACATTATCTTGCATTGACAACAAAAAATATGATGATTGTTTTCCATTTGTCTTGCCTTTTGCAAAAAGAAAATATATAATGATAATGATAATAATAATGATATGGAAAAAAAGATAGATAAAAAATCCAGTGTTTTTACATGGACTAGATATGACTGTGCTATATGCAAATTGTTCATTTGAGGTCTTTCCGGGTTTCAAAGGAATTCGTACTTAAGACAATGGTTATTTTAACACGCAAGATCTTCCAGAAATGTGCTTCCTAAAACCTTACGTAATTTGGCGTGTTTTTTTATAGCTTATTAAAAACTAGATTTAATTATCATGAATCTAGTTTTAAATTGTTGTTCATATTTGAATGACGTTTAATCTTAAAACTTTCTTTTTCTTTGATTTGATTCTTTCCTTAGAGATATAGTTTTCGTTCACTCGAGCTTTGTTTTGGAAATAGATGCTTATAGAAAATATAATTAGAAATGTTGCACGTTAAAGGATGGTGAATATAATAGATTTTTCTTCTAAGTATACCACATCATACTCTTGTGTCTGGTAAAAAAAAAAAAAAAAAATCGAGTGTGCAGTAAAACTTCCTCGAAGGTTTGTTAAATGAGATTTATTTGGCTTAGGATATATGTCTGGGGACGTGAGGTGGGGGGGGGGGAGGTAGGAAAGTAGCGACTGCCAGAGGAAAAAGGCTAATGCAAAGGTTAAGAATCACTATATGGTCAATATTTAGAACACGTGTGACTATTCATTTTGTTATGTGCATTTTCCCAGAAGGATAAACTGTGAACACTATGATATACGGACGATATACTTACTTTGATATATTAATAGTAAGGCACATAATTTCCCTTGTGTACTTTGTGCCATTTTTTTTCACAAATACGTTACAAGCACCATAGAGAATAAATACACTGTGCAAAAACTGATGCGTGCACAAGACTTGAATACAACAGGAACAAACCAGATTTGTAAACATGGTTCTCCTATCGTACAAAACATGTGAGATCCTAGTAATTGTTGGCCTTTGGAACAAAATGGAGAGATGGGGGGAGAGACAAAGGGAGAATGGGACAGAGAGAGAAAAAAAGAAGGGAGATAGGGAGAAAAGGAAGAGGGAGGGAGGGAGAGAGGAGGGAGAGAGGGAGAGGGAGAGGAGAGGAGAGAGGGAGAGAGGAGAGGGAGAGAGGGAGGGAGAGAGGAGGGAGGGAGAGGAGGAGGGAGAGAGAGGGAGAGAGAGGGAGAGGAGGGAGGGAGAGGGAGAGAGAGGGAGAGAGAGGAGAGAGAGAGAGAAGAGAGAGAGAGAGAGAGAGAGAGAGAGAGAGAGAGAGAGAGAGAGAGAGAGAGAGAGAGAGGAGAGAAGAGGAGAGGGTGGGGGAGGGGAGAGAGAGGGAGGAGAGGGAGGAGAGAGAAGAGAGAGAGTGGGGGAGGGAGGGAGGGGAGAAGAGAGGAGGAGAGAGAGAGAGAGAGAGAGAGAGAGAGAGAGAGAGAGAGAGAGAGAGAGAGAGAGAGAGAGAGAGAGAGAGAGAGAGAGAGCATTGCATCAGCAAAAGGTGAAGTGTCACCAAACAAATAGGACGATAATTATAATATTGCAGCAAGTGAATTGCTCATACATATTTCATCTAGCAATGGCGTTCATAGAGGTGCGAATATTTTTTTTGAAAGAACGAAGCATTCTTTCACAGACGTCTATCATAGAAGTTTGCAGTCTGTTCTATTCCGTGACGTAAGCAGACTCGTACCTCAACTGCTTGCCTCTCCTGTCGAGCATAATGAAGTAAATGTTACAGGACACGATGAGGACGTCTGAGATGGCGATGGCAAACTGACCCACTTTTTTGATGAATCCTGGCGCGCTGACTTCGGGCATCTTGAAGGTCTTGGCGCATCCACAGAGCATCTTTTTTCGAGTTTTATCCGTGCGTCCCGGGATGAAGGGAGAAACCATCGTCTCCCGTTCATTCCGAGATCGATAGCTCTTCTCGATGCAACTGTGCAAGATGAAGACGACGCTCACCCTCAGGATGCAATAAAAGAAGAAGAAGTCGATGCACTTGGGCGTGGGTGACATCGGCAGTGCTCGACGTCTGGGAGAAGAGCGAAGCCAGGACGATAAGCAGGGAGAGCGTGACGGTGATCCTGTCCGGGAAGTCGTCCAGGTGAAATGGGTGAGCGTGAGCTGGGAGAGCGCGCAGAGGATCATGCAAGGCAGGAAGGTCGTGAGGAGGAACGACTCGAACTTGCGGTGAAGAGGACGACCAGCGCGATCTCCGCCACGTCCCCAGACGCGGTGCTGTACGTGTAACGGAGAGGAGCAATGTTGTACACGGATATGGTGGTCCTGTTTTCCGTACACCTGGACGCCGCCGTCACGAATGCTCCACTGCGGTCGGCATCCTTGAGGTCCGTGGAGCTTGAGCCTCATGAA